ATCCAAAAAGATCGAAATCGCGATCCGTATCTGGCAGTTTCGACAGAATACAGACCACTTCGAATTATTTTATTCGATTAAGCTAACGTGCCTATTACGTTGAGTTGGCTACGCCAGGATTCGTTTTCAGCAAGTAGATATTCACACAAGTGGACCTTGTTGAAAAATACGTAATCCTAAAATGTAGGATCGTGCTACAGATGGCGTTCATTGTGCCGTTTGTAGTATTTTCTGGAACTACGAAAGTTTACGAATTATAGCAAAACAATATCGAATTGATATACGCTGTGTAAAATTAAAAACTACAAGATATTGTGGTGTGTTAATAAATGCGTATAATTCAAAATTCTTAGAAAACCACTTATTAGACGAACCCAAAGCTAAAGAAACTATGGATTCCATTTTTTTCTCTTATTGCAATGTGTAAAAGATTAGAATCAAAATGGGGTTGTTTTGATATAATAATTGAAGTTGATTTTACATCAATAAAATTATTTGCAACCCTATTTTGGCTCTGATGTTTCACGCTAAACAAACTATTTTGACATAAGTGTCTTTTTCCCAATTAAAACGGGTGACAAAGGCAAATAAGGAAGCATATAGACGAATTATTTGTTGCTGAACTGAAGAAACTATAACATAAAGATAGAAAAACTATATCTCAATCACTTCAAACAAAAAAATACGAATCGTACTTAATCTTCGCAGCTGGTGATATAGTGCAAACACCACTATGAGTATAGAAAAACTCTAATATTCTAGTCCTACCGGTATTTGTCCGTTATATTTTTAAACCGTGAAAAATCCAAAAATTGTGATTTACGAGGGTGGATTGATAAGTTTCCGGCCTGACCAAGAAAAACAAGGTTTTTAAAAATTTTTTTTTTTTATTTCTCAACATAATCTCCTCCAAGGCTGATANTAAAATAACAAATCAAAAAAGTATTTGCATTTTGCTTTTAAATACTTTTAAAAAAACATTTTGCACGTCTCTAGAAAAATCACCTATTTAAAAATATTAATGTTTTTTATTTCCTTTAAGTGCTGCTAGCTAAAACCAATTTTTAACAGCTACTCTAAATCACTTTTCATGTTCTCAGATAGGGACGTCTTATAGATTTTATAATGTAAAACTATCTTTTTTTTAATTGCAACATATTCTTAAGAGCAGATATGGATGTGGGTAGCAAATTTTCCGACTTAATAAAATACCACAAATGACGTGGTAAACGCGATCTGTAGTACAATGCTACATTTAGTGGAATTCATTATGCTCAACAGATGGCGTTTACCGCGTCATTTGTGGTATTTTATAAAACGCACTGCTAAGACAGCAGGTCAAAATTGGTCTGTGTTGTATCGAACCCGCCTGCGACACGCTGATGAGATCTACAAAAACCGAAATTGCCATCAGCGTCTGGCAGTTTCCACAGAGTACTGACCCGGAACACATTTGTTTGTTCTTAAGCTTAGAACGTATTAAAATTTATCTATTTTAACAGCGAACGCGTATTCCTTCTTCAAAAATGAACTACCTCAATCTCTTTCTTTAATGTTCGTCGTGATTTTTGATACTTTCATTAAAGAAATATATAAATAAACAAAAAATAGTTTTTTTTTATGGGAAAGACACAAGAAGCGGCCACCTTTGATTAATGCCCACCACTAGTTTTATGACGCTGGTAGTCGTCATTTAATCACTTGTTTGAGCCACGGGTAATAGTTAAAATTAGTTATAACATATTGAGAGGCATAACACAGATGTTTAGACCACTGATTAGCATTCGGGAGGACATCAGTTCGATTCCGGGTTCAAAATTCATAGATTTCCTTACGGTAATTTAGATTTTAGGCAATCTTCTTCTCATAGGAAGATCAACATTGCAAATATTTTATAGGCAACGGAAATAAGTGAAATAAATGGAAAATCCCTAACTATGTAAAAAATTATTTGTCCACGATTGGACTAGTCCTGAAAGTTGCCGAATGGTACGATACATTGTAAAGAGAAAAAGTACTCAAATTTAAAAAAAAAAAAACCAAAAAGTGTATATTTTAAATGGTTTGAAAGTTTACAACGCCACTTTCAACTATCTGAAAAATGTATCTCCGTATGAAAATTCATTGTTTTTTTTAAGTAATTGCAAGATAGATCCACCCAGACATATCGCTCGCGATCAACAAAAATCCTGTATTAACAAGCAGTTTACTATTCGTAAGCATTAGAATAATACTGCCAAAAACATATTTTCAGTTTTGCTTGCATTATTTTCTCTTACTACGTTTTACGCAAAATTTTGAAATTATCTACGTAATATATAAACATAAGCATGCACTGAATATAGTTTGGGATAGGCTTTTTGGCGTCTGGCCAAAAATATCTCGTAAAAGCCGTACGAATTGGATAGTAATATTCCTTAATATTTTACCCACGAGTATACGGTTGTTTTAGTTTTTTTTGTGAATACTTCTATGGTGCAAATACCTAAAATTAATTGGTACAAATATAAACAATAAAAACAAACGATTTCAAACTGAAAATGTTGCTTATTAGAAAGACAAAATTAGTTTCAATAGTCATTAAATTTTGTTAATTTAGAAATTGTCTACCACTGAACTGACATCTCCTAAACCGTTTTCCGCCTTTTTATGGTTTCGTTAAGTCAACGAGGAAACTTTTTTCGGTGTGTCTCTGTACGTTCCAGCATTTCTATCCCATCCTCTCATTTGGGTGTACCTATATATCTAGACGTATAGATTAAAACGAAATTTGGTTTATGGGGGTAGGTTAATGACCCAAAAACAAAAAAGATGTTTTTTTTTGGCTAAATAATTTTTTGGCCCTCTTCTGTACAGTACGAAAAGTGTAGGTACTAATTTCTTTGGGTATTTTTTTTCAATTTTGTTATTATTAAGAGGCCCTCAATTTTAATATATTGGTTAAAAATATTCTAAAAGTTTTGCTGAATGTATCTTTTGGTTGATACCACCATTGAAAACTACAGGGTAATTCACGAAGTTACCTCGCCACTTAAGGAATGTTTTCCAGAAGTCATTTGAAGTAATAACGTTCATATTAACAACGGTCTCATTTTCAAAAATAAGTGAGTTATGACTAATTGCAAATTTTGCACTTCTAGTTTTGACAATGTATATATAAACTCAGTTTGATTTACAAAAGAAATAATTAATAATCAGTACATCTCATGATGTTAAACGTTTGAAATGTCCATTACACACAGCACTTTAATGAAATTAGTTGCGTATTTTGTATCGGATTTAAATCCGAGGACTTGCTGGGCCAAAGAATTGTCTCCAGTACCCCCAAATAGTCGCAATTAAAAAGAATGAGGAGGTACACCACCCTGTTGCATTGATTTTTTCTTTATGTTTTCGTGGGACAGCGGAAATCTTCAAAAGACACACAAAACGCAGACCTATTTATCTGTTGCCTGATTTATGAATTACCACAAACAGCGTGGTCAACGACATCTGTTGTATATTGCTACATTTAGTGGAATTCAAAAATATTCGAAAAGGTCTATAAGAATATCGACTTATCGAACTGAATTCACAACGTAATTGAAACCGTCAGACGCTGATTGCGATTTTGACTTCATCGGATCTCATCAGCGCGTCGTAAACAGTTTCGGCAGAACATGCCGCGGATTCAATTCGACAGGTTGATATCCTAGAGGGCTAGAGCTTAGAGCTACCATCCTTAATAACATTTTGAATTTACTCGTTTTGCATAATTTTTTACATGTATATGTATTTATACTTTAAATATGCTTTGAATATACCTTTATGCGGTTGTCTAAATTGTCTAATTTCCTTATTTTACTGAATCGACATAAAAAAACTAAGACGATAATAAATTCTTTTTAATAAAATTAATCAAATCAAGCACTTGATTTGTTTTATTAATTTCACCTTATTAAAGGATTGTGTGCAGTCAATATTACACAATGTAAATATAATAGACGATATCCTAATATAAGAAAAAAATTCTAACATAAATGTAGTAAGAAAAATTTTAGATAAAATTGAATTGGGTTAGTAGGGATTTCATCCTAAATCCACGCGAAAATTAATGGTACCTAATTTGTTTTTTTTATGAACACCTTCTGAAATACTTTAGCAGAGTACCTACATCATATTAGCGGACTCATCGGAAAATTATCTGTTTTAGTATTTCGAATCGATGATGAATTATAGAGTAATTACTAATTAAAATAATTTATCAACCAGAACATGCTTTCTTAGCGACAGGAAGTAGGTAATTGTTTTTTCAGTTGACTGCATGTATATGCGCGTTTCGTTCTAGAACCTTATTGACTAAATCGATTTTGATAAACTTGATAAAAATTAGATAATTTTGAGTTTACAACGACATGGTAAGGCCGGCGACCCATTATAATCAATATGGCATACGCTAGCCGTCATAATTAATACATTGATATTATAACACAGTATTAATCTTTGAGAGGGAGAGTGGAGAACGCTTATAGTCTTAGGAACTTATACCCTATTACTGTTGTTAATATTACGAAAATAAAAATTGCTAATACAGATAAATAGTAAAGTGTTGATTTTCAAATTGTAGGTTTTAGGTGCGATTTTTAGAAAACTTACGTGTTTTATGCATATAGTAATTATTATCAACAAAAACTTTTTAGCCAAAATCTTAATTTTAATTTTTACTGTGTACATTATAAAGAATTTCACAGTCATATTTCTTTTTCGGTTGTTAGAACATACCGTATGAATGAGATTTGCATTTGAATAATTAATTGATAAATATTTAACGGAAGTCTGTAGTTAGTTTTATGCATGTTAGAATTTTTTTAAACGATAAAATTTTACGCACCCTAGCAACTTTTCTAATAGAAACTGTCAAATCTAATGATGACTTTTATTTAACTTTTTTATGAAATTATTTTTCGTTCTAGGTTTTAATGATTAACAAAATAATACTTTTATAAAGAAAAATCACTTTTATTGTAAAAACAAAATACAAAGTCAAAAATCATGCTTATTAATAAACAACAAAAAATACTTCTCCACTAGTATGGGAGTTGCTAAAATATTGAAAATAGCTTCAAAATTATTCTCATTCTGCTAACTAAACATTTGAGAGACTTTTCTTTTTGTTAAATAAAAATTATAAACTGGTTGGCAAGTCAGATGTCTTTATAAGATGATAAAACTTGCCAATACTTTTTACTTCAAAACCATAGTTCTTAACTTCTTCTTGGGCATATTTAATTTCTTCTTCTGTTAGACCTTCAGGTAATTTACATTGCAAAACCCCAACACTATTCTTAAAATCCTCGCAGAATTCTTTAAGTGATTGTTTAAAATCTCCCATGACATTAGCATTATCATTTAATTCCTGATTTATTTCATTATTTTTAAATATTGCCTTTGCCAATGTAACTTCCCTATTGTAGGCCTCTCTCTTTAAATCTTCAAGTTTTTTAAATTCCTTATAAATTTCAGGATTTTGTGGTTCAACTCTCTGGGCATCTTTTAGTCGTTTAAAAGCCCAATCATATTCAGCCAACATAATTAAGCTTCGTGCATTATTAAAATACACTTTGGTAGGTACTTTTAGGGATGTGCCCTTACACATATTATAAATTATATTAGCATTTTTACATGCTTTCCTTGGTTCTGCCATTTTGGTATATGTGACAACTATATTACTGTAGAGTCTCAGTAATAATTCTTGCTGTTTACCTTGTTGTTCATAATTTGGAATATTGCAATATTCTAACTTTGAAACAGCAGTATTATATTCTTTAACTGCTGCTTTATAGGATCTTTTCGAAAATAAATCATTACCTTTAGCACAAAGGGCATGTGCTAATTTATATACCTCTTGAAATTTGTTTTTAGATTCATTATCCAGATTATCATATGTAATGGTAGCTCCAGTGTCGAGGAAATTTTTTAATTCAATTTCATATAAGATTGTTGCATTTTCTGGAATACGCTCTAAACAACCCCTTCTGCCATAAGCATAATCAGGATGAACAAGGAATTGGGACTTTTCATTTATTTTCATAGACTGCACTGCCATATCTAATCCCAAGATAACTTCTCCATTATTCAGTCTAAATGTATAGGGTCTTTTACGTGCATAAGTTGAATCAAAAGGCTCATCTTGGAATTCTATATATGCGTTATAATGAATAGTTACCTGACACAGATCAGGTAATGTATCACCATAGCCCTTTCTCAAAATTCTCTTTTTCACCTTTCCATTCTCAATTAGATTAGTAGATTTTTCTTCGACACACTGAAACGACTGTCCTGCTTGAAACACGTCTTCGTCTTGTATGTCTAACTCGTCTAAATACGCTGCTATATCTTCTGGTTTATAATACAAATCCTCTTCTTGCTCCTTATCAAGAAGGTTATCGAAATTTACTTCAAATGTTGTTGGATTTCCAGCAATTAAGTCACTAAAAGGCAAATTGTTGTATATTCGAAAACACAGACATAACCACAACTTACTCTAGATTTATCCCTTCTTTTAATTTTACATTTACAGGTGAAGATGAAGACGACTCTTGATCTGTGTTGTCCATTGCTAATACAATTGCTTATCAATCAACACTTTTCAAACTATAATTTTGATAAACATTAATTTAGAATACCACAGCAACTTTGGTAAAATAACAATTGTCAAATCAGTAACTAAGTTTTAAAGAGAGCATATGCGCATGTCAACCACTCAAAAATCAATTCTACCAGTGGCGTAACAATAGTAATAAAACCGAGGAGTATTATAAAATAGGGGATAATAATGTTACGTGTTTTAAAAAAGTAGTTGTTTTATTTTAAAAATAACTTCAAAAACACAAAAACTTTGAAAATTGGAGGAGTTTGTAGCTAATTTAAGTAGTTTTTTTATTGTTATTGTACAGTTTAATGAAAGAAATATGTCTTTTTCTTATTATCCCTAGCACCATATCAATTACTTTTCAGCAAGAGTAGGTATCTTTTATAAACATATTCAACTGCACCATGACCACATACCAAGCTAGTTTACACCACTAATTGTAACAGTTTAATTTAATTGTAAGCGAATTCTCCACTAATAAAGCGAAGGTAGCGGCGTTAAACTTTTAGGTGTAATTTAAATTGAAAGTTGGAAATTAAATTTAAAGTCAC